TTGTTCAGAAGAATGGATGTATTAAATGGGGTTGAGAGTCCTCAACAAGTCATTCACAATTACAACCAAAGTCTGTCTCAGTGCTGTAATCTACCTGAAAAGTTTACAGTCGGGCCACTTCATATCACTAGCTGATCTATCTTCCCCCAATAGGGGAATTTGATAAGCAGGTAAAAATTGTTTTAACAACTTGGGTGCAGGGGTGGGTTTCTACCAGTTTGCACCTATTCACTAGAACTGGTTGTTAACATTCTCAGCAGTTCGGAGAATTGGTTGTTAGAAGAAATTACTGGCCTGATCCTGTAAGGAAGGCAGGAAGGAAACAGTCTGGTGTTGCTTACAGAAACTGCCTCTCCATTAACCCTTATTACATTCTTGGCAGGACTAGACTTCCTGACTCAGGAACGTCTCTGCAGTTTTTTTTCCCTCCTTTGCTGGTACTTTGCTTGTGTGAAGTGACCATTCAAAGTTACAATGGCACTGAAAAAAGTGACTTATGACCATTTTTCACACTTACGACTGTTGCAGTGACAGTCATGAGAGACCAGGCGAGGAGATACGTGCCTTGATGTGAGTGATATTGCGTTGGCCACGCCCAGCCAATAATATGACCACCAAGCCACATCCACCAAGTCACATGCCCACCAACTAAGCCACGCCCACAGAACCAGTTGTTAAAAAATTTGAAACCCATCCTTGCTTGGGTGTTGTCGGGTTTTTTTTAATTATGAACTGCTTATTTGAAATATACTATATCTTTAAAAACACTGTCAAGGTTGTTATATAGAAAATGCAATCTTAGACCAAATATTTTGGGAAAATAGCAGCAGGCTTATGCTTTTGAATTAGGGTTTGATAATGTTGCAAGATCTAGTCTGAGTTAGTTATCAGGAATAGGGTTTAGCCTTCCAAGTTTTCAGACCTATGCTGGAACCTATCGTCAGAAAACTTTTCTTTACTAGAATGTATCTCAGCACAATTAAGCCAAAGTCAGTTTCTTTTAGAAACAATTGGATGCATTTTTATTAGTTGTGTGCTAAAGACAGAAATGAATAAAGCCAGTGGTGGGCTGCTGGATGGTCGGCAGGGTTCAGGTGAGTCCCTAGCTGTGATCTCTGGATGGGCCCACCCATCTACCCTTGAACTATGCTTTTCCTAAATAGCGAACTTTTTCCCTGCCCAGGCTGCCCAGGTGAGTTCCGTGCCACCCTTTTGTACTCACCGGAGCTGCCTGAGTCAATTAACTGCCTGTTTAAACCTACATTTCAGCCCCAAAGGGTGTGCACTCATGACCAACGAACCCCTTGTCAATGAAAGTGCAGCCCATCTCTGAATAAAGCTGAAAAATTAATTATATGAATCTAAGAAGAACTTATGATGGATGCAGTTATTGAGAAGAAAACAAAGATGAAGTGCAGAAGGAAGACACAGAAACAGGAAAAATATGTCTAAATTTAGTTTACTTTATTGTCATTGCACCTCATACAATGAAATCAAACAGCATCTTCAGTACACATAATGACCATGAGCATGAAAATAAACACAAACACACATCCTTCACCCTTCACACATTGAACCTACATTTCAGCCCCAAAGGGGCTGAAACCCCTGACACCACACCAACACTGCCCTTATACAGTAGAATTCAAAAGAGCTACTGCCATTTTTCAGCCTATTTGTCCTTGTTTTTATTATTCTGTATCATCTGTCAGATGGTAATAGTTCAAAAAAAGGGTTCCCAGGATGAGATGGATCTTTGAGAATGTTTTGAACTTTCTTAAGGCAGCAGTAGCTATAAAGCTCTTCCAAAGAGGGGTTCAACCTATAAAGCTCTCCCAAAGAGGGGAGAGGGCAATAATTTTCTGGGCAATGACATTAACTCTGGAGTGCTTTCCTATCTGCCACTGTGCAATTGGCAGACCATACAGAGGTGCAGTATGTTAAAATGTTCTATATGGGGCAGCGGTAGAAGGTCACCAGCAGTTTTTCATTCAGTTGTTGTTTTCTGAGAAGTCTCAGGTAGTAAAATACCTGCAGGGCCCTTTTGACCAGGGCTGCAATGTGGGCACCCCAGGTCAGGTCTTCTTTTAGGGTAACACCCAGAAACTTTAAACTGGCCACTTGCTCCACTCCGTTTCCATTGATAAGCAAGGGCTGGATGTCTGATCTGTTCCTTCTATAATCCATTATAAGCTCCTTGGTCTTATTGGTGTTGAGGACCAAGTTAATGCACAGCTAGTAAAATGTTCAAATATACATACTTTTCCATAAATATCAGTATAGTTTAAATATGATAGATATTGCTAATTTTATCAAAATAATATAGCTTGTTATGAGTTTCTCAGATACTGAATATGTTAAGGAGAAGGAAGATTGTTTTTCTGGGATTTGGGAAGATCCCCAAGCTACAGTTTTTTGTATTTCTAATATTTCTAATCATCTATGTTTCTACTATGGCTGTCAATTTTCTCATCATTCTTCACATAATAATTGTTGAACAGCTGCAAATTTTCAAGTATTTCTTCCTGAAAAATTCCTTGTTTAGAGATATTGTATAGTTAAACCTTATTGTCCAAGATACTGCCTACTTTTCTGAAAGGAAATAAAATCATTTATCTAAAATGATGTATTGCACAATGGTGTATTTCATTCCTTTGCTGGTTAGATGGAATATTAAAAAGATATAAATGATACAATGATACAATATATAATAAAGATAAAAATTAATTGCTTTATGAGATCAGCATTAAGGCAAATCAAAATTGAATTGCTTTTAAAAGTTTCTGGTTTGGAAAATCAGCTTTCCGTTGCAGTAATTTTAAAGATTGACATTGTATTATATGATTAATTGATTAATAGTATCCTGGTTTTCTCATGAACCTCAGAAAATGCCTACAGGTTAATATGAAACTGAAGAAAACAGAACTATGAATAAGCACATGCAAATTGATTTAGATCAGATCAATTAACCATTAACATGAATTGATTGGAGAACAATTTTTATTTCTTTATATAAAGCTGCAACAAAATTTTCATCTTCAATTCCTTGATCTGCTTTGTTTTCAATCATGTTATAATTATCCATGTTGCTATGACTGTTTTTTTTATTCTAAGGAAATCCTGTTCATACACATTTCCCATTCCATAAAACATGGATAAAATTTGTATAACCCAATGCAAATAATATTTTTAGAATGGTTCAAATTCTGATTTTCCAGAGGATGAAATGTATGTAATGCTTCTTGCAATTCAATCTTTCTTAAAAATACAGACTCCAAAAAGAAAGAAAAGAAAAGAAATTATACAAAAACAAAGATAGGCAAAACATTAGAAAAGAAAAAAGACAAAAACAAAACAAAACAAAAACACATATATATGTTATTCTCCCGAATTGAATATTGATAAACATATTGAAATATTTAGGCAAAATAAGCATCACTAGTTTTATTTTGTTCTGATTTATTTTTATTTTTATTTATTTTTTGTTTTGTTTTTTCATTTTATGCTATACAATATTGTAATGATCTAAGATTATAATAAAACTTATTTATTTCACTACTCAGTGCAATTATTTATTATTTGAAGTAAAAGTAACTAAAAAACTAAAATATTCAGAATATATATGAAAAAATACATATTAACTTATATAAATTATCACCAGCATAATAATTTATATTCCAATTAATTATATAAAAATCCATAGATATTATAGTTTAATAGGAAATTTAAATATTATAAACAAAGCACAATGTGAACAACTAGTAAATCTTTGCTTTATTTGATTTGATTTGCTGTCCATCTCATTTCAAAATTACTGAGCAGTTTAAAGCAATAAAAGCATTAAATAATAAAAGATAACTATTTCTAAAACAATAAAAACAGAATTACAGTCAAAGATAAAGTTACAATTAATAAATGCAGGATGCACAGGTGGTGTGGGATTAGCTCTTAATTCATCAGCCAATGCTTCCCCATTGGGCCCCAAGCTATCTGACAGAGTCAGGTCTTCAAGCCCTTATGGAAGGTTGAAAGGTGGGAGCCTATCTTACCTCAAGGATAATGCACCAAAATCTAAATATATATATAGCAATTAATAATAAGAATACAACAGTATTATATTTGTTTCATTTTAATTAGGTACAGATCACCAAGACAAAGACTTTCATTTGTTTGTTTTTTCTCCCACAGAGGCCCTTTTATTATGCAAAAATTAATCTTGACATTGCTAATTCTATTACTGTTTCTATTTTCCTGCCTATCCTATTGTAGTTTCTATTTTCCCACCTATCCTACTGTAGAACCTTTTTATTAGTATAAATTTACAACTATTTGTTTATAATTTAGGGGGGCATGATGGTTCAGCAGTTAAAGGCGCTGAGCTTGTCACTGGAAAACTGACAGCCCGTGTTTGAAATCCAAGTGCCAACAATGCAATGAGCTCCCATTCCTTGCCCCAGCTCCTGCCCACCTAGCAGTTTGAAAGCATGTAAATGTGAATAAATAAATAGGTACTACTTTGGTGGGAAGTTAACAGCATTCTGTGTGCCTTTGGTATATATTCATGCTGGTTTTCTAGCTCAACTCATTTCTTGCCACACCAACCCACAGATTTTATTTCTGACCATTTATGAGATCCACAATTGAAATGAAATCAGACTGTTTTAAACTTTGTTTCCAGGCAGCACCAAAGGTCTGGAGCTCAGGAAGACAACAGAAATGCCTGCTCAATCTGCATTGTGATTTCATTCTTCTATAAACAGGAGTGTTAATAGTGAAATAATAGAATTATTAATAATACAAGTGTACTCAAAGTTTGGTATAATTTAAACTCCATTTCTTCCCTCAAGGAAAAGACCAGAGACAGATGAGCAAAAGTTCCAAAACTATTATCAAAGCCAATTCTGACAATAATTGCAGAAAATTGATGGACCCCTCTTTTCCCCCTTGTATCCCTGTTTCTCTTCTTCTCCTAATTTCCTCTCTTCCTTCCTCCCTTTCTTTCATTTGTTTTCAACATTAACCAAGCCTCTCAACATATTTTGGATTAGATTGAAAATTGCTACTTTATTTTTTACTCTTCTCAAAGCTTTCTTTACATCTTTGTTTCTCAGGCTATATATAAGGGGGTTAACAAACGGTGGAAGAATTGTGTACAAAAGGGAACAAACTTTGTTCATTGAAGTGGATGGTGGCAAAAGATACACTGTTATTAATGAGCCATAATATATGGAAACAACAGTGAGATGGGAAGAACAAGTAGAGAAGGCCTTTTTCCTTCCAGTACGGGACGGAATTCTTAGAATGGCTATTATAATATATATATAGGATGCCAAGGTTATTAGAAATGGAGGCATAGTGTAAATAAATAGTAAGATTAAATTTGTATGTTCCACCAAATATGTGTCACTGCAAGAAAGTTCTTTAAGTGGAACAGAATCACAAAAGTAATGATCTATTTCATTAGGACCACAGTATTTTAATTGCAGCATTGCCACCATTATTACAGAAATGCCTATGAAGCCATTTGTCCAAGATATTGCTGCTAACTGGACACATTTTCTGGTATTCATAACTGTTGCATAATGCAGTGGTTTACATATGGCTAAATACCTGTCATAAGACATCACAGATAGCAAATAACATTCTGTTCCCAAGCAATAGCCGAAAAAAAATAATTGCAGAAAGCAGTTGCTGAATGAAATTGCTTTTCCATTCATCAAAAGTGTAGTTAACAGTATGGGACTAAGAGTTGAGCTGTAGCAGATCTCTAGGCATGCCAAGTTACAAAGGAAGAAGTACATGGGTGTGTGAAGATGCTGGTCAATTACAACAAGAACAAAAATGAGAAGATTCCCTGTCATTGTAAAAATATAGGTAAAGAGGAAAGCCAGAAATGGAAGGATCCACAGATGTTCCAAATTTTGGAATCCCAGGAGAATAAATAGAGTCACACGAGTTTGGTTTTCTCTTTGTTCTTCATCCATTCTTAATCTTCTTTTCCATGGGTCTATTAAGGTAAATGACTGGTGTGATATTGTAGTAGGAAACAATTACCAATGTCAATGCACTCTTTTTCATTTTGAATAATTAGAAATTAAAAGAGACATATCTGAGTGAGGTTTAATTTCTGGTGTTTAAGACAGACATAGCCATACAATTCAATTTGTCAGAATTTGTCTTGTAATTCACTTTTTCTGCAATATTTGTTTACTTTCTGCTCTCATGTACCTCCCAGGTATTCCCTGAAAGTAAACATAGGCACACCATGAATCTTTCATTTATCTTATACACAGAATATATCTCCAAATTTCATATCATAGTCTGAATTATTAATTTAATTACCTTTGTTCTGAGAAAACAAAACCATGGTTTAGTAGTTTGATCAGCCATGCTTAGCTGGTAAATCTTTCTAAATCATAATATAAACATTGCTGATTTGGGGCCATGAAGTTCCTATTAAAATTATCTCTTTGGGAGATGGTTATGATTATAGTCATATTTAAGTACTATCAGAGTTGAAATTAAAGTTCTATAATTGATACGATAATTGCAATTGAGGTTTAAAATGATTATGATTATGATGTTGATGTTGATGTTGATTATGATATAATAAGTGCAATTCTGTTCTCTCAAACTTTTTTTTTAACTTTCAGGATTAGCCTCCTTTTTTTAAAATAGTTACATGGAAGTTGAGCATATACTGATTTGCTAGCTTCCCATTCCTTGATACTTCTATTGCAAGATGACCAAAAAAAATCAATTTTGATAGTATGTAGAGTTGTAGAATAGTCATACAAACTAATTTCCAATGAATCAGATAATCATCTTTGCAAAATAATTAGAACATTGATCAGTATTTATTAACATTCAGGAAAGATTGGCTGACCCTTTGTTCCCTGCAAGGGAGAAAAATAATAGCAACAACAATTCTGCATCCAGTCAACTTCCATTCTTTTGTTATTTCAAAAATGGTATATTTACCCAATAAAAATAATGATTGAAGTTTTAAGAATATTCAAGAACCAGTACCAAAGAAACGAAAAGAAAGGCAAAAAAAAAAAAAAGATAACTTACAGATATTTAATAATTAAAATTTCAATAAATAAATAGCACATTATTTATCCTAGTATGAAATATTTTGTTGGAAAAGTAAGTTACTTTTGTTATTCTGATAATCACTTAAATGTGTTTCAACAATGAAGAATGTGCAAATCATATATATTAATAATAAAATGATAGGAGCTAAAGTTAGAATATTGATTTGCAAGGCTTGTTTTATTTCTTTCTGATTTTATTGAAATAATTAATACATAAGCATAAATCTTACTTGCAATGTTTCTGTATCAGTAATTTCTACTTTCATTATATGTTAATATTGTAACTTTAATGATGAAAAATAGATCCAGAACTCTGAATGTTGCAGGTTCTTTGTCTTTATTGTGTCTTCATGGAAAGTCCAAGTTTTCCTCCTTTGAACTTAGTATATAAGTTATTAAGTAACTAATGGATAGCATCTCACATGGAGACAAATTAGCGAGATATCCCAAGATATTTAGAAGCTAAGTTCTACTAAAAATATGGAAAATAGGAGATCTCAGGGGAAAACCAACAAATATTGAAACATCACAATCTAGCAAGCATCTCTGGTGCTCAGTACTTTGGGTATAATTGACATGTAGACCTCAATTAATCTGTATGATATCTGGTTTTAATTTTCAAATTCTATGGTTGAGGTGAATGGGAGTGGTTTAAAATTATGACATAAACCTTGAGTTGAAAATAAACACAACTGAAACTCCAAATAAACAAACTGAGAAATCTTGACAGTTGCTGAAAATTTAAATTTTAAAACTTGATGGGAAACATTGGCACGAATTAATTAGGAAATTGTTATTCCCAGTAATGGGATATTTGATATTTATTTACTACTTGGAAAATGAAAAACAAAGAAGTCAAACAAAACAAAACAAAAGAAGTGGCTCTCATATCTAGAAAAAAAAAGTATTTGGCTGTAATGGCATCATAGATCAACTTCCCTTCAATATGATTATCTAAAATTTGTTTTAATCACACTTGTGCATAGGAAGAGGTAGTTGATGATATTTATGATTAAGTTCATTTTGAAATCACAAGAACATGCAAGATGTGGTGCTTGTGATTGGGGCAAAAGCTGGACTTTGTAGAAGTGGGATAGAAAGAATGTTGATCCTTCTGAAATTTGGTGCTGAAGAAAACTCCTAATAATATCATAGACAGCCAAACTAATGCACTACAAAACAAATCAAAATGAAGGGTTTTTTTTGAGGCCCAAATGACCAAGCTACTTTAGATAAATTATGCAAGTGTTACTTTTCTAGAGCAGGGGTCACCAACCTTTTGGATCTCAGGGACCACCAAACTCATACTTTTAAATCCTGAGGCCCACTAATATGAATTATTTAAAAAAGATAATATATTTAATATGAAAATTTTATTTTTTATGTTAAACATAAACATAAATGGGAATTGTGCTGCAGAGTGAAGGGAAAGGAAAGGCTTCTTTCATCCTTTGGGTTTGGGGGGGATCCAAAGTCCTGGTGTTTTGTCTTTGTTAAGAGTAATGTGTAACTAGTATTTTTTCCCCCTATACTTTCACACTTATGAAAGTTTGTCAGCAAACACGAAATACCCATTTCCACTCCATTTTCATTCCAGTCATTACAGGACAAACCTTTGAATGCACAGTACTATCTAACATTTTCCTGATATAGGTCACTCTGTAGCAGTCAAGCCATGCAAATCCACCCCCCCCCCCCCCATTTAACTCCCCCCCCCCCCCCTACGCCCCCCCCCCCCCCCCCCCCCCCACCCCCCCCCCACCCCCCCCCCC